GTGGAGGGTCCAGTTCGACAACCATCTAACCGACTGGTATTCTTCGACCAGTGGCGTATCTCAGCTTCTGCATCTGTCTTGTGCGTTATTTGCGAATGGCTTGAAAATGTGGAGAGGAAGCAGTGCTGCACACAGTGACCATGATCTGCCTCTTTGTGACCTAGATAGTCTGTCCACGTGGTGTGCAGTGGTCAACACTCCGATAAACGTGCTCAAATCGCCATAGCTGAGCTTGAGTAAGGAAGGACAGTCGAACAGTCGAGGCACTCACACTCTGCGACCCAAAGTCCGTGAACAACACGAATAGGTTTTACCAAAACGGTGTTCGTATTCTTTGGGCGCTCAAGCGCAGCTTTAGCACTTCGTCTCAGTCATACGAGCAATGCTAGAGTACACCCCACCCGCATATCGTACTATCACCGGGGGTGAGGTGCGAAGAACTGAGCGAGTACGGCATGTGACCATAAAGGTCTTCGAGGTTTGCGCTGCGAAGTCCGGTGCAAGAGAATGGGACTTTACACCCTGTCTTATCCTCCAATGAGGTTTGAACTCATTATGACACACCGGATATAACCTATTGATAATTAAACATCTTGAGGCCGTAGCTCCATATGCGCACACCAAGCAGCAGACGAGGACACCGGTGCAAGGTTGTGGTACCGGAGAGTAGCGAATATGTGGAACAACTGGCTGCCGCGCGTGGCCGAAGCAAAAATTCTTGCCGATTCCTTGCAGTATTTCGGAACTTGTTCACAACAAATCGTAAGCAGAACGTCCCTGACTGTGCATCATATTCTGTCCAAGGTGGAAATTCGATTATGATGTTGAGGAGGGAAACCCGCACTGTGGCTGTGTGGCAGCAGAAGTGTCCTCTCACTATAACCAGCCTTTTGTGGCGATACGGCGTTTTTTAGCTGTAGGATCATTGAAACTACACTAAAGTTTGACGCGTGTATCATCTCGTTCCCACTTCTATCCAAATACATCTATCTATCTAATCAATGGTTGCATAGTAGGACGATAATGATTTGAAAGAACTGCATTGCTTTTCTCGATGATGATGTTTAAACCGTGACACCGACGAGTGTGATGGTCAACGTTCAAATGAATGCAGTTGACACCTAAGTGCACCGATTAGAAAGCAACTAATTCAATCAAGACAGATTACAATTTCAGTAACAAGGCAGACCACATAAACAGTGTACACGTTGAATGACGGTCTACTAACTCCTTTGGAAATGCTATTTTCAGTTTAGAGAGCTGCCGTATACCAAGTGACGCAAGGTGTTGAAGTGAGGCGGCGATCGTACAGAGACAAGCCGCACGATTAATTTATGTGAGGCAACAAGTCCAACGACTGAGGTAATTAATCCTACAAACAAGGGTCTAGTAGATGATGCATTATGAGAAACAAATTGTATTCGCTTTGTTGTTATGCAGATACATGTGGAGCTGAGTGGTCTATAAACGATGCCATCATGGGGCTTAGTGAAAGCAATAAAAACGAGGACCGTCCAGATAGCCCGCAGCGATCATGAAAATCTCAATGTGGGGACGCCTGCGACCAATTCTACGAACACCGCTGATGTTCTATGTACATACACCAAGCTTCAACTCAGATACCAAGCTGATTTGCATTGCACAGCGTGCGCTTACGGCTGGTATTGCAAAAAGTGTACGAATCAGTGCACAACATAAAAGAAAAACAAGTGTTTATCAAGACCCACTCACCGTTGATATACTTGGTCAAAGAGTGCCAAGAAATATCAGCACCATGTTCTAGAGGCCGCTGTCCATAGAAATACATTTCATGTGAAAGAAAAAAGAGAGACGTAAAAGAAAATGTCTGAAGAAAGAATCCAACTTCCTACGTGTGCAATCTTTTGGTGGAAACTATGTAATAAATGTTAAAATGTGTCACGTAAGGGTTGGTTAGTTGTTGTAGTTCGCTTTTCAGAGCGGATATTTCCAGCAGTCTTTTAAAGCAAAGGCTTTGCTGTCGAATGGTGATTATAGTAACTGGCCAAATTGCTCTCCGGTGTGACAGAGCATAATCCAGATTAGGAGGGATGAATAACAAATGAAAAAATGGAGAGATGAAAAGCGCATATGAACAAGGCCAGAGAGACAATTGAGCAAAAATGAAAGCGTATACTCATCAGATTTAAAGGCGGAAGAGAAGATAATAGACCAAAGATTGGCTACAGCAATGCGCTTTGATAAGAGTGGTGTCGAATCACGGATGCAGCCGGTGCCAAGAGCTCCATTTATGCAAATGGTCTGGTCCATTACTGTTAAGCTTTTGAAAGACCTCTTAAGGTCATTGCGCCACGCTGTTGGACGATTACATGCCCACGTAATTGGTCAAAATGAATACAAAGAGTGTGGTCTAACCAAAGCAAACGGCTAAAGTCCACAGTGGGACCAGGCGCTGCATCACAAGATGAAATTCCTCGTCCCTCACTAGGCAATCCCATTAGATATGAGCTGTGCGAAGCAAGCAATATCGATCAAATAAGACCAGTCTGCGGAGGTGCCCAGCACGCAATGACTATGCCTCTGATCCATGCTCGTGTTGTAGCTTTGTGCACCTGAGTTCAGTTCACAGCATAGTATGCGTCACTTGCACAGGTGATACAGGCCACGAGACCTTATTGAATTGATAAGCAATCATTTCGGTGAGGAACCCATCCAGACAGGCGAATTGATCTGCCAATTTGAGTAATTTTCCAATGATAGAAAGATTAGGTGGGTTAAAAATGCAGTCATATCTGTTTCTCTGCATCCAATCCCAAGTATAACGGAGAGTGGCCGGCACTCTGAACTTCGAATCGCGATTCACAGATGATCAGTTTGAGTAATAATAAATAATGTGCCAGCTGTACGCCTTAACGGCGCTTCGCTGCCGCGCGACCAACACCAGTTGCGCGCGGGTTGTGTAAAACACGAGGACGCCTAACCCTCCGCGGATTTGAACCGGGGACCTTATGGTTGCAAACCAGATGCGCAGACCACTAGGCAACCGGCCGGCAGTTTGAGTTAACTGCGCAAATACCCCATACTGTTGTTACTATTGCAGGCTTCGTCGTCTTTGTTGTGGTTGTTGTTGTTGATGTTGTTGAGAGTAATGAAGATGAATGTAATTTCCAAACCGAACTGAACGAAACGGAATAGTTTCCAGCTCTTGCGGATATATGGTCAAAACATAACCGGGACAGCTCTAAAAACCGGTTCTCAGTCCACGCTAACCAGATTAAGTATAGTACACGGATCGTCAACATAACTAGATTTTAATGATTCTCTTAAGTTCAATGCTCTGAAATCGATAGGAAAGTCGTCATTACAAAAATTGCATTATTGTACACTAATGCACGTCTTGAAAAGTTTGTGAGTAGTAGGGGGGATTTATTGGGTTTTGGTGAAGATTCCTCACAGCTAGACTCGGACAGACAGTCACTAGAACCAGGAAAACGCTAGCCGGCCGTTTGGCCATAAGAGGACTCGTCAGTAGCGCGCACCCGCCGAATACTTCCGGATTCGAACCCATGTCCTTGTTCTTACTAGACAGCGATTAGTTCGACTGAACAATGGATGACTGCAGCGGACCGTTATTACTCATCTACTTGGGATATGGCGCGGCTCATCTTCCACTCTCATGTATATCGCGAAGGTGTGGAGGACAGGGCTGACCCAGAGCAAAAAATAAATATGTGTAAAAAAATATTGAGTCCAGTTGAATAAGACAGTGGAATTGTGAACTGACATCGGAAGATGTTACCTGAAAGTACGGACTCATAAATGTGTTATCCACAGCAACCAATATATCTTTGTTAAATTTGTGGGCTGCATCGGAGATTCTTCGAATGTCCACCAAGCGCATCAACGGATTGGATGGGGTCTCGATGAGAACCAACCGAGTGTTGGGTTGCAAAGCAGTTTTGAATAAGGATTCGTCTCGCATATCCACCAAGGTAAAGGAGACACCAGTCTTGGAAGCAACAGTGCGCAGGTAGCGGCCGGTGCCTGCGTATTTGCCAAAAGATAAGCAAAGAAAGTGCTCAGAAATACCGAGAACCTGAAGGACGTTATCACAAAGCTGGATGGATTTATTTGTAAGCTACGGCAGGTGACTTGGCCGAAGTCGAGCAACATGCCATTCGTCTGTCCACTTCAGCTAAACTCGGCTACGTACCGGGGGTGAAGTAAATCAGAAACTATGAAAACAAGTGGCATATAGAGCGTCAAGTAGATACGCGACGGAATCAATAAACCGACGTCACGGGGTTTTGTATGACTAGTCACAGTAAAGCCTGCGTAAGTTGACCACTCAAAGGACTGGACCGACATACAGAGGTCTCGATCCTCAAGGTTTACAAGCAATAAAGCACAAACAGTCAACTAAGAGATGTGGTCAGGATGTGGAGTTGATCAACCCCATATTGTACTGTAGTTGCAACGGTGGTTGAAGGAAAATTCCGAACAGATCGTTGCAGGAGTATGGTAGAATACCAGCACAGATTGAGTCCGGGATACGGTGTGAGGGTGAGCTAGTGAGCACATAGAGCTAACACCGAAGTGCCTGTCGTATTGTAAAGCAACGACCCTGAAATAACTTGAGAAGACCGGAACTCTTTGGCTGGAAGGTTAGCCTAGTCCGGCTCTTCAATCGCCACTGTTATGACTAATCCAGCGTGTCCCATGATGATGATTCGAAGATGATGTCTCGCCGACTGCATATGCGACACCTTCAAAGAACCGGTCGCAGTTGGTGGATTCACTGTGAGTGAAGTTAACACCCACTTTTCTGCGTTTGCTGACGGACCGCTCGTTGTGCACTGGAATATCTGTCAAAAGCAAGCCGCCCCACTGGGTTTATGGCAAACCTGCAGTCGGAATCAGGCTATAAAAACTCTTGACTGAATCACTCGGAGAACTCTACCCTCTGAAGCACCGAACTCCAGGAGATATGAGGGGAATCACGCAAGTAAGTGATACCACCCAGCCAGACCTATCCGGTGCGTAACAGTTTCGGTCCGATTTCCCTATTGCGCTTGATATCCGCACTTAGTGATTGTGAGGATTTTACATGAAAATGACCTCATATTTCGAGGCAATTTTACAGGGTGTTTCATAGTGACACCGGCGGTGATATCATTGGACGGAAGTTTCGCGCTCCAAGCTCACGGGTCCTGCCTACCGCGAACTACCCGACAATAACCTCAAACTGAACAATTCAAGTCTAGATATGGTATCGTGAGATACGAGCGAGCTAATGAGATATGGCCGTCTAGGTAAGAAAGACAGGTCGCCAAGATAATGATTAGCTCCTTGTTGTCGAATGGTATTATTCTCGCTGCAAGTATGCACTGAAGTCACTAACCGGCTCCATGAGCAGTATTCAGATGCCGCGATCACTAAGTTTGCATTCTGCAAATTTGAAACAAAAATATAGTGTAGCAGTGCCACTGGTCTTCCAGCCGAGCAAACCGCTGAGCAGATGAGGGGCGAGATTATTAATTCTGAAGGAAATATTCTGTTCTAGGAGGGATCAGAATACTAAATAATGAGGAGGCTTGGCAGCTGAAGGTTTATTACATAGAAGCAGTAAGAGGGTGTGAATGATATGAGTAGTTCAGTAAATCCAGAATCAGTCAGCAGCCATGTGACGCCCGGAAAAGTACTGTACGGCGTTTTTATCCTGTTGAGCGCCGTCAGTAGTGCGCATTCTAACTGACCCATGTACGGTTTGAACCCTCAACTCGACTGTTGCCAGTCTGTGGTTTAGACCACTGAGCTACGGGGAAAGGCAACGACCGACGTCACTAAGTTACTAGATGTCGTATGGCGCCGCTCATTATCCACTGACTTGCACATTACTGCTGGGCACAGGACAGGTTAACTCCTCGCCAATGACATAAGATAATTGTCGGCTTAAGTTGAGAAGGTTCGTCGCGCGATGGGAGAGGGTTACCCTGTCCTCTGCACGCAAGTCAGTGGATAGGGAACGGCTCCATTTGCATCTAGTAAATTTGTCACATCGGTCGTCACCGTTCCCAGTGGTCCAGTGGTCTTCTCCATGGACTGGTAAAACTCAGGTTGTAGGTTCTGACCCTACAGAGGTCATGCTTAATTCGTATTGCTATGTTAAGAAGTTCAAATGACATAAAGAAATCCAGCACGTCTAAACTCAGACAGCGATCTCACAAATGTAAAAGCACCGTGTTCTCAACTTCAGACTGACAACAGTCGAGTTGCAGGTTCGAAGCCTACAGGGGTCAGATGGAATGCGCAATACTGACAATTTCCGAAAGGATGAAATGGCCGTACAGTACTTTTCCGGACGTGTGATAACTGTTTGACTGAGTTTAGACGAGAGGAAATTCTTTTTATATCATGCAACTCCCCATACTGCTTCCTTGAAATTCGAATGGGCTTGGTAGTCTACTGTACGAGACTTTGTGGGACTGGGGCCGATCGCACGTAGCTTCTTTGTTCAGCTATAGCCGGTGAGCAAGCAGTGAGTAAATGAAATAATTGTGGCTTAAGTAAACCACAAATGAGTTAAAATAGCGGCATCGCTCAATTATCAGAGATTGGCCGTTTTGAAAGCGGCAGCTGAATCAATCGAATAACATCGTAAGAACTTCCAGATTTAAGACAATCGCTAAACAGGAGACAGCAAGCATCGGGTAGCTAAGTGCAAATAAAATTCTTTGTACAATAATTGAGGTATTACTGACCTATAGTTAGAGTGCAGCGTGATAATGATCACATCGAACACAGGCGCTGCAAGGCTAACCGAGAAATGCACTCAACGCAGTCGAAAATAGGGATATAAAGTTACCCTACTCGGAAAGAAACCTTAGAGCACTTCGAGGTTGGTTTGGATAAGAGTGCGAGACCTAGAACAAATCAGAACAAATCGAATGTCGAGTGAGCCAGCTAAGTTGAGCTGGGCAAAACACGTGCAGAAATGATAGAGAACAATAAACCATACACACACACACACACACACACACTCACCTCCATACATGTCGTCAAATCCAACAATATGATCCCCCGAAGACAAAAGCTGGACTATGGCGGCGAGGCAAGCTAGCCCGGAACTAAAGGTGGTACAATGATCACCTTGTTCCAACTGGGCAATACATTTTTCCAAGCATTCACGGGAAAAATTTCCTCCCCTTGAATAATCGTACTAAACAAATCGGAAGTGAGACGTGGCTAACCTTATAAGAACCGGGAGTGAGTTGCTGAAAAGTACTTGAGAGGGAAATGGGGGCAACAATGGGACGCCCAAGTTCCAGCACGCCTGTCGGGTCGTACCCACCGTGAACCGCTATAGTGTCGATTCCATCAAACGGATGAAAATGGCTCTCGATGAAATCGTGTGCCGCAAGGGCCGATTTACTGAAATTACTGTCAAAGTCACACATCGTCTGTAATGTAAAAACAGACATCGCACAAACTTTGATATGGCAAAGCTTCTGCAAAGATTATACGGAAGGAATTCGTAATCAAAAATGGTAAACCACATAAGCTGGAGTATTACATTAGTATACGCCGTCAAGATAGTCTACCAATCCGCTTCAAGTTGCAAAGCACTATTGCATGACTTGCTCAACAGACTCCCGGTTCTAGCTATCGCCGGACGGCCACTGGAAGTGGTTGATCAGTTAAGCTACCTTGCTGGTTGTGTCATTTCTGTAGTCACATAATTGAGGTGATTACTTTGCGTACCATCGAGCCCCGTGTGGCTTTCTATAGGTCCAAGCATCGATGGACACGGTGGCATATCAGCCGGCTATTGAAAGGAATGGTGTATAAAACTGCAAGTTAGGTGTTACTATATGGATCTGAGACCTAACATGTTCATGGTGGAGACATCAAACACTGAAGCGTAGTTGATCGTCGGTTCTTTCACATTGTTGCTTATATCTGGTGGGAACACCGGGCAAGCCGTACTGAGGCTTACTCGTTGGTGTTTGGCAAGAAACTCTCTGGTGCGTCATTCCAGTGTTTATTAAAACTTAACCGCTTACTTTGGTTGGGGCATGTACAACAGCGTTAATTATATGCCGTCGCTACAAGTTAGGCGAAATCGCTAATCGACTAGTCGATGACGTAGACAAGGGTATAGAAAATGGCCGATTGGCTTGGCCAGGCTGTGTTATAGCAAGCACGTGCGTAACTATGGATCTCAGCAGAATCCGTTATTTGACTCGTAGCGCAATACAGCAAAACACACCAGTTTCAGCAGTTTGTAACATGTGTTCTGATTAGCAAGAAAAACAACGTTTCGCAAAATTTAGAGGAATTCGAACGATTAATAGCTCGACATTAGACTGACACCGGCAAGCCAAGGCAATGGGAAGCACAGTTGAAACAACTACTGGCTTGACACACTAACTCCAGTAGGACTAGACCATAAAAATTAAGCAAACTCGGTTCACGCAAATACCGCAGGTTGGTGTTTGCCATCTCCGTTGATGGGCCTCCAGATGGTCAACATCAGTGCTTAGAGACTGTATCGGACATGGCGCAGTCGCACAGTCAGTGACATTCCTACACTAGATTTCTTGTATTTCGCTGTTGCGTTGCAAACGGCACGCTCACTCAATCCGTGTACCGCAAGCCAACCTGGACAGGATAGTACCTAAACTGCAACAGTTTTGTTCTATAAACTATAAACGGGCATTGGCTCGCAATGAATTCGTGATAGCTTGTAAAATTTGCTCTGAAGATACTATTAGCAGTGAGGTGAAGCACGTACCATAAACATTACGTGAAAACAGATACCCCGAGAGATTGTAGCACGATAAGTAAAACACAGAAACTAAACTGATGTTCCTAGGAGAAAGGTGTTTATTACACTACCGTTTAAAGGGGAGCAAAATGACAGATTCCGGTGTCGTCTCTGCCAGATGAGAAATAAATGTTACTGTGTGGCCGAACTTGTGCTATTGCACCAAGTAAAGTAGCTGCTATGTAAATTCAACTTTAGCAAACCAGAACCTCTAGTTGCTGCCTCATATGTTTCCTTCTTTCATGTTACTTGTGTTAGCAAGTACGTAGGCTTAACTGAAAGTATGCTGTCGACTAGAATTTTAAAGCACATTCCACGAGAACGGCTCCAAGCTGCCGGTAAGATCCATTACCAAGCACATCTTAGACTGCTTCATATGCAAAAATCCACGCGAATCGTTCGGGATAAATAGCCAACAGAGCAATGCTGGCCTGCTACAGTTTAATGAACCGTCAGCAATTCGACGGCTGAAACGCAATTTGCACTAACAGACTGAGTTTATGACCAGCCTTGCGTTGTCTTGGTAAGGTTCCACCGCTCGTTACAAATTTAAATTGAATGACTTTGGACCTTGTTTCGTTATAAACGTAACCAGTTTTCCACGGAATGCTTGTTAACAGCTGGTAAAAATACTCGAAATATCTGAATTCAGAGTAACCTGTTGAAGTGTGGTTTTTTTGCTATTTTAAGATTTTCATTTTATCCTGATTAGTTTGATGCAAATCCTACTTATTTCATCTGCTACCTTCGGATTGCATTCAATCTCATCTTCTTACCTTTGTTATCTGGCACTATTCTGGCGACGTGAGTTGTCTTAACTGGAGCAAGCGCACTTCGGTGCTTGGAAATATGTGAATCAAACTGCGAAGGCACCGGTGGTCGAAAACAACTAGCCTCTTTATGGCAGTCGAACTGCCGTACCATGTTTCCCAACACCATAGCAGAGTTAAAACACGTCGCAAATGTTGGGGTCTTTCTGGAGAACAAATAAAAGTAACAATTTGCACTGTGTTCCGAAAGTCGGGGCGATTCTAGGCATACGGCTAAGACAGTGTACTTTCAGTGATGCTGAGTAAGGTGTCGCAGCAGCTACACATCTGTTATCTACCTATGCAGTGCGATGCTCTGCCTGCGCTGGATGGCACATACCAAACATCTTCCGAGTCAACTATATCAGAGTAGTTGGCGGTTAAATGTCCAACAAAACCAGTCTCAGTATAGTCTTCTTTGGGTGTTGGAAATTGGTTGGTTTTCTTTCGTCTAAACCTACTCGCGAAATGAATCAGTCAGCGAAGTTCACATTCACTTCAGTTGGCATCAGGTAGCAGTGTTATAGCTAGTCTCCAAGGATTAGGGATCACCACCTACTCCAACGGGATTGTTACCGTCGGCATCAAAATGAGCAGATAATTGAAAAAAGAAAACCATCCAACTCCAACCTACGGCTAGCCGGGGTCAATACTGCCGAGAAACATAAGTGAGTAATCCTACACCTTCCAAACATAAGTTAGACTGGCCTCAAGCAGATTCCAATAACATTTTGAAGTCAAACACCTGACCTGGGTCAGCCGCAAATTGTCTTGTGGTTTTGGCTGCTGAGTTCGAGATTAGCGACAGAGCATTTTGAAAAACCCTTTATCGGAATAAGTAGCCGGGATCAAATAGCTAGCAGCAATATATCGTCACGAATCGCTTTTCCAATGATGCGGTTTCCATTACACTTTGCGAATCGTCCTCATTGGTGTGTACAGTTGTACTTCAAACTGTCAACGGTTACCTAACAGCTGATTCCTATTCAAAGAGAGCCGTGTCATCCGCATACTCTACTGTAAATAGTTAATCAAGCATCACAGCGTCTACTCTAGCAAAAAGGAACGAACAGGGGATAAGCATCTATAGCCATCTTGATGATGAGGTTGAGACCACTAACGCACTTAAATGGACATGGTAATTGTTATATCCACATACTTATTTTTCGTCAAGTTTTAGAGCAGAGCCACGCATAAAGACGACGGACTGTGGTGCCTTTCCTTGACTTGAAAGCCGCCTTCGCCTCCGTTGACCACGCCAGCTTGTTGTACTGCATATCCATGAAGGACGTATTAGCTAAATTACTTTCCGTTATGCAGTCTCCACCGTGACTTCCGAGGTCGTGTAAGGGCGCACAGGAAACCGTCTTCTGAGTTCCCCTGACAAGTGATCGAAATGATCTTGAACGATAGTGTTTTCGAATTTACTAAATTGGAAGCTCTGCCAACTGACCGACTGATAAATCTGGAGTACGCGGACAACATAGCTATTCTTGGGTCTGACGCAGTGGCTATGCAAACTACGAGATAGACTGACGCGTAGAGCTGCACACTTTGGCATGTGCTGTGAACATTCAACGTGCAAAGTATTGCTGCAGGAGTCGATCGACACACCGGTTCCAACTATCACCGAACAGCAACTGGGAGTGGTGGAGTGCTTCACTTACCTTAGTAGCTGTTTCAACACAGGTGGCCACATCACTGAGGAAGTTACTTGCGTATCAGCAACGAAACTTGGGCTTTCCAAAGGCTCAACCATCTATGAAGAAGCGGGATATCAGCCTATCAGTGAAAGGTAGGGTTTGTAACGCTACAGTAAGGCCGGTCTTAACTGTGTGGATCAGACCTTGTCAGTTCACGGCGAAGACATTAAAGGTTTGGCTGTGTTTGACCAGCCGTACTTGCGGAGTATTGCTTAGGCCTGGTAGGAACACCAAGTGAGCAATGCTGAGGTTCGCCAAATGGTTTTGGGCAAGGAACGTTCTGGTGCCCAACTCGAGTGTTTGTAGAATCTTAATTGCATACGTTGGCTAGGCTGTCCTCCGAATGTCCGTTGACCAGCTTCTTCGGCGTGCATTATACGCCATGGCTGCACCAAACTGGGCGAACCCGCGAGGTGTCCAGTCCATAAGGTGGCACAGAGACATGAAAAAATTGACTGAGTCTTGGTCAGACTAGTACGTGTCGTTTCCCTGGATGGAGGCCTCGAGGTAGTTCACGCCAATGGTTGGAGTTCGTATCAGATATGGCGCAGTCACGTAGTCAGTGGCGTTGTTGCATTGGGTTTTATACCTCTTGTTTTTAATGCTGAGCACATTCTGATTAGTCTAACGGACGTCCTACTTACCTCCATTTTCTGTACATTCTGTTTGCCTCTATCCTCACTATTTTGCCCTTGTTATTCATGGTTATGCTTGCGATGTGAGTCGTGGTAACTGGATCCATGGCATTTCGTTGCTCGGATCACAGTTGATCAACTGAACTGAACCGAATCGTTACATGGAGATAGTACAGTAAAAATAAGCGTCTTAAGCACGTCATTCAAACAGATTCGGCCAATAGAACCAAAGAAAGACGAAGGCTACCGTGATAGACTGTCGTAAACGTGAAATTAAAGTAGATACCAATACGGCTAGTGCACCCTCTACCGGACATGAAGATAGGTTGACTTCCTCAAAATCTTGATGCACAAAGCTAAGTCAGCCACTGCAGTATGACGCAGGAGACTAATGTGCAGGTAAATGCGCTCAGTTCGAGGAACCAATGAGCACAATACAAGACATAATTTGGATAATTTCGAAGATGGTGATGAAGTATGACAACTGCCAGCCGGACAGCCCAGCCT